TGCTATGGAGCATGAAGAGGGTATGTGTGATAGTATTAATATTTCTTTCTTTTCTTACTCTAATGTAAAAGTATTTATGGAAATCATATACTGTATTTATGATGAGTTAAATAGTAAAATTGTACAAACTACATTATGTATACTGTATCTACAATAACTTTTTCAGGTCTGATACGAGTCCAAGATGGACTTGATTTTGAAACTCGAAATTCCTATCAGCTTACTGTGAGGGCAACAGATAGTTACTCGGGCAAGTGGGCAGAAGTTGTCGTCTCAGTGCAAGTCATTGATGTGAATGACAATCCACCAGAATTTCTACAACACTTCTATAATGTCACTGTGTCTGAGGCTACAGCTATTGCAACTCCAATTCTGACAGTTTCTTCCTCAGATCAAGATACAGGACCAAATGCAGGAGTGAGTTACAGGTTAATGGGACTGAATGGAACTTTACCCAAGAACTTTTATATGGAGGGAGACTCTGGAATCTTGATACTGAAGCAAGGATTGGACCGGGAAACTGCTCCAGTACACCATTTCCTGGTTCAAGCCATAGACAAGGGAACACCACCATTATCATCTACAGCACATATATTGGTTACAGGTATGTTGATGGGTATCTATTCAGAATACATTTGTTTTTCACTTCCTTCTTACCACACTGAATGTTATTTTAAATTATAACTGATAGCTACTTAATGAGCATAGCAAGTTAAAGAAAATTCAACAATTTCATGTTGTTATTCACACAATTTGTAGTACAGTACTGTATTTTATGGCATATAAGATGCACTTTTTTGTCTGAAAAATGGCAACAAAAATCTGCCTTAAGTTGTGGTCTCCTGCAAACTAAATACCCCCGTTGCTGTCTCTGCTGGGTTGGCAGTGATTAAATCACAAAAGCTCTTTCCTAAATACTTCCTGCTAAAATGGGGGGTGCGTCTTGTATGGTATTTCATATCGGGTATTGATAGAGAAAAATATTCTTACCCAAATTTAAGAAAAGCTGGAGCCATAGTGACAAGATTGCACAGGTCATGAGGAAAAACTTTGTAGAATCAAATGTAATTACCGTATAAGGAATAACAGTAAAATGAAGATATCAGAAAAAGCTATTTTATAAGAATTTTACCATAACAATGATAAAAAATCATTGCACTTTGGTTTTATAACTCTTTAGATGCAGAAAATTACTAAATAAATACAATAGAGATAAAAAAACACTGGTAGGTATTGTAACAAGTTTGTTTAATGTGATATTTTGTTTTTCAGTTTTGGACATGAATGACAACCCACCAGTATTTGAACAGCAAGCCCAACGCTGTGTGGTGACTGAAGATGCTTCCCGTGGCCACTTTGTCACCCTTGTGTCTGCGTCTGATGAGGATATTAGTGATGTTAACAAGCTCACATACTCAGTTGTTGATGGCAATGAACTGCAGGTGTTTGCCATAAACTCTGCTTCAGGTAATGAACATGATCTCTCTTCATTGGTTTTGGTATGTACGTACAGTACTGTACATTGATAATTAGTTGGTGGTACAGTGGTAACTTGCATATCTCTCGCAGCTGTGTCCTGGATTGGAGTCCTGACCCTTGACAGACATGGGAAGGATGTTATTCAGTGTGACTGTATCAAACATTACAGGGTTTTTTTGTTACTCCTGTTTCCTTCTTTACTAACACCGAGCAGTAAAGTTGAAACACAGTAACCAAAAACAGACCAACCACCCAAACAACTAATAAGTTAAGTGGTGTTGGGAGTGAGGGAGACCAGGTATATTACTTTGCTTGTTTTTCTTTGATTCCCTTACTGTGTTTGGTAATATTATAGTGATACAGTATACTCTCAATTTAACGGAATTCACTATAACAAACTCTCGATTTAGCGAAAGGAATTTTTTCCTTTATTTTTCGCTTGATTTAGTGAACTAGTTCGCTAAATTGAGATTAATTTCGTTAATACGCTCACATCGAAAGAAAACAGCGATCAAGAATGTTAGCAAGTTGATCGTGTCGAACTGGAACACGTGTAGGGTGTTTAATTATTTATTACAGATCATTAACCCGTAATTGGTCATTAACATTCAAGTACTTGATCACCAATGTTACTATCTCTCGTCATTTACGTACTAGAACGTTTTTCAAATAAACTTTTCCCACGCCTTTGAAACCAAGTCTAGCAACCATAATCTGTTGGCTGGTGGTGTCTGGCATCTTGTGTAAACATTTCCCACCACTTGGCCTGAGCCCCCCACAGTCAAAGCTGTGGGACTACACAGTAGTTTCTCAATAGCCATGGCATGTGAACGTAACCAGTCACTCAATCAAGATGAGATATACTCTGAATTATTTGGTAGGGGTGAAGGTGAACATGGTATTGACAGAAAGGCATGTATTGATAGTGATATTGAAGGTGATAATGAAAATAAACCGAGAGGGACGGAAAATACCTCCCCTGACCTTGAGTGTGCAGCGTTGCCACTTGTAATAAAACCATCATGTTCATTTCATAAGTGTTTTTTAAGTTTCATTTGCTTTGGTGCTACATTCATATTATTATTATTATTTTTTGCATAAAAAAACAAATTATGAATACGTATATGTACATGGCTGCAAGACCGACAGGAAGTACTGTAACAGCACTGGGAGGGAGTAGGCTTGGCAATACTGCACCAGCCCAGGATTTAAATTACACACAGCACATGTAAAAGAGCCAAGTTTCCACTTTCACTGATATTTCTTGTTTTCTTATGTTATTTTGGGGTGTTTGGGCATTGAACAAAAATTTTATTTTTTCCGACCAGGGGGCGTACTATGTATGTATAATAATGTGACCTTTTATGGTTTAAGTAAGGAAAAAGAGAGTGCCTAAGCTCCACCTGGGTCATCCCTTGCTGGGCCAAGCCACTCTGTGATGTACATTGAAATCTCCTAGGTAGAGGATCTCGGTGTTGGGGTGTGTGGATAGCAACGACTCATGGCAAGAAGAAAGATAGTCAAAGAGTTCCAAATAGTTGGTAGAGTTTGGAGAACAGTATAGGAAACAAAGAAAAATAGTCATGATTGTTAGATATTTTGAGCCAGATGACATCATAAAGAGAAGATTCAAGATCCGTGAGTCGAGATATAGGTGTACGTGTATTGTAGTAGGCGCATACATTTACATTAAACTATACAGGGCTGGAATGCTCATATCCCAATATCTACCATCGGTGGTCTCGTAATGTTTCACAGTGAACAAATATTTTCTCTGGATATTTTACTTACAGATACAGCACAGTACTGTACTTCTTATTTTTGAGGTTGATCCACTGTCTTGGAGTTGGTTGAATTACAAAAGTGATGTACTGTACAGTACACAATAATGAAACTCACCAAATTGTGTCCAGGTGGTTCTGTGGTAGTTGTGTGTGAGAGGTTGATGTGTGTCTTTAAACTACTTACTTATGGTGAATAACCATGATTAATGGAATTTTGCCGTACTGCCGGTATATATTTTGTTTAGGTATTCTTGGTACAAGATCTCGCATGATTGCCCTCTCATTGTTCAGTGGTGTTTTTTCAAGAAAGTGGGTATTTTTTATTAGAAGGAGTTATTATAATATTTTTCTGATTAACATTAAATTGTCATTACTTACTTTGCAGGAATCGTAACTGTATGGAACAGCCAAAAGCTTCGTGAGAATAATCAGCACATATTGAATGTGTCGGTGAGTGATGGTGTCTTCACGGCTTACACACGTCTGGTGGTGTCCATCACTCCAGTTAATGCTCACTCGCCAACATTCAAAGTTGCACAATATGATGCCCACATTCAGGAAAATTCTGCTGTAAAAACTACTGTTGCTCAAGTGTCTGCCAGAGATGTGGATTCTGGACGTTATGGTGATGTAACATACCACTTTATAGGTGATGATGCTCAAAAGTTCTTCAGAATAAATGAAAATACAGGTAAGATTTAAAAACAATTCATGGCAAATATTTAGAACTTGCCAATACAGGTATCTACTTATATATTAAGTCTTACCGATAAAATTGCCAATAATATTACGTGTTCAAGGTGGGCAGGGCTTTCTGATGATCACAATTTATTCTATAACCCATGCTATATTTCATAGTTGTATAGGCATCTCAGTAGGGCATGTTTGTGTCCCCCAGGAGGTCAGTGCTGTAGGGCATGTGTGGCTTTCCCCCAGGTCAGGATTGTAGTGTGTGTGTGCTCGTGCGTGCGTGCTGTATATACAGGTATAATGTACGCTCTATTCTATTAACATTGTCCTTTTTCTTAAGGCAAGTTCAAGGTATGTTAATTGAAACTAAATTACATTAGTTATGTAAGATGTGTTTGTCAGGTATTTCATTAACAAATCCTTATCATCGTTTTTGCCTAAAGGTGATGTGTGGACTTCAGAAGTGTTTGATCGTGAGGAGCGTGCTGAATATGCCTTTACAGTGATGGCAATGGATATAGGTGGGCGCACTGGCTTCACTACGCTTCACATTACTGTTAATGATGTAAATGACAATAAGCCTGTTTTCATGCAGACTAATTACAAAGCAATTATCAGGTCCAACACCACCTCTGGATCTGTTGTCTTAAAGGTAAGTTTCCATCGATCATATTGTCACTTTTATTGTAACATGTTAAAATAGTTTCATATTAAATGCACGAGGAGAATAACTTTGGTTAATTAAAGATAGGTTAAAAGAATATATGATTTTCACTGTTGTGTATATGAATAGGGAAAATGTAGTGATCCTTTACCTTGAAATTAAAAATGTTTTGTAATCTTTGTTTTGGTGCAAATATAAGCTCAATTCATAAAGGTGAATGCGATTGTCTTCATGATCAGTTGGTGAAATACAATGAATAATTAATAATTTTGTGTCTATTTTATTTCATCAGCAAGGTTAACTTTATAGTGCACTTGTTTGCTTATATCAGGTGTTTGCTGTGGATGCAGATAAAGGTGAAAATGGCACAGTATCTTACAATTTTCATAGCTCAGCCTTACCAGACACAATGGATGCTTTTTCTATTAATTCAAGAACTGGAGAAATATCTTTGAAAAGAAATGCGCATGATTTGGGTAAGTAAAATATGTGAACAGTCAGTCTAAAAGGTATCTTTGCGATTTTGTCTGAGACAATATGACACAACCGACGGAGGATTTTAACAACCCTACTGAGACAACAGGAGCCACGGTATTCATTTTGAAATTCATCGGACCACTCTGTAAATATACCTTTGAGAGTGACTGTACATCTGTTCTATTTATGAGAAATATATAATTTCTTAAAAAATAAAAAAAATATTACTCATAGCAGTCTAGTAAAGATATTGCATGTAGCAGTTGTATGCAAAGACCAGCTTAATTTTATAGTTCTCCCCCATCATCAAATTATGAATTTCCTTTGTTTTTAGTATTTTTTTTATACCGGAAAAAATATCTTTAGCATTAAATTGTCTATGAAATAATACTGGATAGGCAGTAGCTATATCACTGAATAAAATACTACTAAACCATTTTCTTAACATTTTAATATCTAATTTCTATTTTAAAATTAATTGATACATGATGGCTCTATATTCTTAACTGGATGAGGGCGTAGTTACAGGAGAGGAAACAGAGTCGGCATTAATGGCAATTGGGGAAACATCACTTGCGGAATATCCCAAGGCTCGTTACTTGGATCATTACTATTTATTATATACATAAATGACATAGATAAAGGGCATGTAATTAAATCTGATGAGAACAACACAAAACTATAGGAAGATCTAAAAAAAAAAATTTGCATGGTCTGAAAAATGGCAGATGAAATTTAATGTGGAAAAATGTAAAGTACTGTACTTCGCTTAGGAGATGTAAACAGAGATACCCGATATCAGATGAACAATGTTGAAGTAAAAAATCCGACTGTGAGAAAGATTTAGGGGTAATGATAAGTAGGAATCTTAAACCAAGTCAACACTGTATTTGCTCAAAACAAGGCTAACAAAGTACAGTACTTGGTTTCATACAAATAGGAATGTTGGTTACAAGGTGAGCGAGGTTATCCTAAAACTGTATCTTGGGCGTGTGAGACTTCACTTGGATTAAGCAGTTCAGTTTTGGTCACCATACTACAGATGGATATTGAATCCTTAGAAAGCATTTAGAGGAGGATGACAAGACTAATCCCAGACATTAGGAACTTTCAGTATAGAGGCAGATTAAAGCATATGAATTTGCACTCCTTCAAAAGACTTAGAGTGAGGGGCGATATGATCGAGGTTTATAAATGTAAGTTAGGGTTAATCAAAGGAGATATAACAAAGGTACTGTACTTAAACTATCCAACTGGGAGTGAACTCATAGCAATAGTTTTAAATTAGACAAATTTAGATTTAAGCACTAGGTAGGTAAACACTGGTTTGGAAATAGAGTAGTGGACAAGTGGATAGTTGCCGAACAATATCATTAACTCGAACATGCTGGGTAGCTTCAATATAAATTGGACAGATATATGAGTGATAGGGGCTTCCTAGTATGGGCCAATAAGCCCATTGCAGTTCACTTTCTTTTATTTGCAATACAGAAATACACTTAATAAATGTTTTTCAGGAACCTAACCTATTCATATAACATAGGATACCTGTATACATGATAAACTAAGAAAAATCTATTCTTCTTCAATTACAGGGAGCTCTGTCTTTGAGTTCTTTATTGAGAGCAGAGATGAAGGAAGACCAAGCCTTCATTCAAATGTCGCAGTTTTGTTGCGCATTGTGGATGTTGATGTCAGACCTCCCGAGTTTCTGTCACAAATATATACCCTCACAGTTGCAGAGGATACACCGCCAGGTTAGTAAACATGCAGAATCTTATTTGGAATCTTTAAATTATATTTAAGTAAAGAAAGAATGTGCTGTACAAAACAATTTTGCAAAAGTTATCAGATTAACACCCTATATCTTTATTAGTCTACATTACAGTTCTTAGAAACCTGCATCAAAACTAACTTTTTTGAAACCTATAATATATATATACAGTCAACCCTCACTTTATGCGGTCCCACATTCCGCATTTCCACGTTTACACGGTGCCCTGCCAGAACCCAGGATGCTCACATTCCACAGTGGGTGTACCCCTTTACACGGGTGAAGTATAATTTTTTTATTTAGCTCATAAAATTCATACAAATTATCCGGCCAGAATATAATTTACATTGCTGGAATTCTTACAATTTGATGATCAATTTGAATATAAACATCATAGATTTTGCATTAGACATACAAATTTTAGATATAATGTTTACTCTGAGTAAATATGTTATCTTTTGTGCAAAATATATGACATTTATATTCAAAATATTCCTGGTCTTACAAGGAATCCAGCAATGTCAATTATATTATCCTAACTTTAATCTGAGGTATTATTTAATACTAAATGTTAAAATTTAGTTTTTTCACCCAACATCTTTGAAGGGAGGATTGGTGGGGGGTGGGGGGGAGGGTTGGGACTGACCGCGCGGTTGGAAGAGGGGGGGAGGCAAGGTGGGGTACTTTGATTGACAGATAGTGTCGTGAAGAATATTTTTTTTTTTATTAACTGAAGATATTTGTTTTAGCTCATAAAATTCATACAAATTATCCGGCCAGAATATAATTTACATTGCTGGAATTCTTACAATTTGGTGATCATTTTGAATATAAACATCATAGATTTTGCATTAGACATACAAATTTTAGATGTAAAGTTTATTCTGAGTAAATATGTTATCTTTTGTGAAAAATATATGACATTTGTATTCAAAATATTCCTGGTCTTACAAGGAATCCAGCAATGTCAATTATATTATCCTAACTTTAGTTTGAGGTATTATTTATTACTATACCTGGTTTTCCCCCAAAAATTTCTCAGAGGGAAGAGCCAGCGAGTGTAGTGTGAGAAGAGGGGGAGGGAGTCGAGTCCATTATTTGAATGGACATTAACTTGGCGACTGTATTTCTCTATTTCTCTTAAGTATTAATTGTGTGCATGTACCATCATAAAATTAAGATGTTATTTTTACTAGAACATAGGTATTGTGTCGGAAAAAGTGGAGTTTGGGGATGGGCCAGTTTCTATTGGAATTAATCCCATATGTTCTGTTGTTCACTTAAGGTGGTTTTCACTTAACATGGTACCCTGTGGGTTTTATTGACCGCGTTAAGTGGGGTACAACTGTATAGAGGTTGACAACCCTTTATCCGAAAACCGAAAGTTTTTTTGTGGAGCATTTTTTTTTTTTTAACAGGGATTGAGCCACCCAGGCATAGATCACTGACCCACCGGGGCCTGGTGGGCGAAAATATAATAGTAATACTAATTATAATTATATATATATATATATATATATATATATATATATATACTCAAAATATGTATTGTAATTCCAGGCACACGAATTGGATCAGTGGGTGCACGTTATGATGGTGAATTAGAATATTCAGTCGAGTGGGGAGGTCATGAAACTTCTCCGCCAGTGTCTGTATCATCGCAGGGCACTTTGACCCTCACATCTTTGCTTGACCATGAAGATATTCACCGACTATCACTCATTGTCACTGCCCTACCTACAGACAAGCCTGAGTTGGCATCAAGTACCAATGTGGTTATTGAAGTAAGATATATTTCTGAATAATTGGAGTGTGTAGTGTGGTAGGGGATATCCTCTCCCTCATGGAGGAAGCCAGCTTTCTACATAAGCTTTGAGTTTGATCCATTAACATTTAAATGTTTTTATGAAAGTTTTATCTTGTTTCTTACTTATCTTTTTTACCTTGCATTATTTGATATTAGTCTTTTAAACCTTTATTTTAATTCGGCGTCAAATGATCTAAGCTGTTGCATCGCCAGGGATGTAATTACCACAATCAATCAATCAATCAAATTTAGCCTTTCTTTACTTTGAGGGTTTTGCTATAAGGTCAGAGTAAAAGATGAATATGATATTACGTATACCAAATTAGACAACTATTGTACATATTTGTTTCCCTATATCTTTTCACACTCCTGTCTACAGTGCTTGTATGTATGGGTGGGAGTTGATGTTTGTGTGTCTTCAGGCAATATATATGTCTTTGTGGATATTTAAACACATGCCTTGTTTTTTTTGTTTACTGTATTCAAATGCAAATGTTTCTTAATTCATATGTAATATATATGTTTTTATTTACTAATTTATCTTTGAGGATGAATGTCAGCCAAAAATTTGAATTATTCCTTTATCTTATTATCTTCATGTTATTCTTGATACTAATATGAATATCATTTCTCAGGTTCAAGATGTAAATGATGAATCCCCAGCATTTGAGAGTGAGAAGTACTATGTATCTGTAGCCGAGAACACACCTTCTGGGTCAAATGTTGTCAAAGGTATGTGTTACTTGTATCTATGTACAATAAACCCCCCACTATATTTGACACAATTTAGCCATGTAACTTTTAGACCTTCATCTTAGGGAAAAAATGGAATTGCATTTCTGTACTGGGAAATTCATGACTGGTAAAATTTGAACTTATGGCTATCTCTGGGGAAATTTAGGTCACTCTACTAGCGACACCCTAATTTTTTCTCTCGAAACTGATAAGAAGTGAAAGTAAATGCAATACAGACTAGTTGTTCTCTGTCCATGCAGCACATAAAAAACACAAATTTTGGTGTAGCAATACAAACTATTTTGAGAAATGTTACCAAGAGAGAAGAGGTTTGGGTGTAAGTAAGGTGTAAAATGAGTTGTTTGGATGTGGTTTGGTCAGGGAGCTTTTCCTGCCCTCAGAGGCAGTTTTACTGTGTATGTATATATTGTGGTTGTGTGTGTGTGTGTATTTTGGTTGTGTTTGTGTATATATTGTGGTTGTGGTGAGTGTACTGTGGTTGTGGTGAGTGTACTGTGGTTGTTGTGTATGTGGGAGAGTTGTGATTGTGCACGTGTGGTGGGGGATGTGGTGCGTGCATTGTTCTTAATGAAACACTGAGTGGACTTGAGGGTAAACTCAGCATTTTTAATACTTCATTTGCTTCTGATTATTTATGAGAAGATTTTTTATTCTTATTTATATGTATGTGTGTGTGTGTGTGTGTGTACACACACACACACACACACACATATATACAATACAGATAAAGGAAATTACTGTCTTTAGAGCGAATGGCTCCCTGTCCCAGCCGCAAAAATGCCAGCAACTTTAAAACTACCCAAAGACATTCTTGGGTACATCAGAGTGTCATCCGCGAATAATAGAGGACCACGAAATAAAAATCTGCAAATTATCCGGGTGTACTGTACTATTGCTTAACCCTGTACCATATAAAAAACTCTTATTCTACAGTACAGCATCATTGTTGAATATTTTGTTTCATTTGGCCTCTTTTCACTTTAGTATTATATTTTCAGTTTTCTGTCAATATTGACATAATCCAATGTATGCATTATTCTTACTATGCCTTTTGTATTTTGTACACAATATTTTAATGACAATATTTTTTTTCTGAACTCATGTTTAGTTCTCAAAGTCATTAAACTTTCTCACTTTCATTTCTAAAGCATCTTATCCTTATAGTTTTATTATCTTAAAACTCCTCCCCATCTTTGCATATTGATTACTCAGTATTGTATTGCATCATCTTCCTGTATTGGATAAAAAAATTTGACTACCATACCTGTACAGGTACATTTCAAATAGTTCTTGTATGTTTTGCCTCCATATAATCTATCACATTTTATCCCCTTGTAAGCTATTCACAACTTCAAAGTTTCTTTCATGCAAATGGCTCTGTAATTATTTGCATAATTCCAACATTGTAACTGACCTTCTAAATACAGTTTTCCACTGTCTTGAAATATTAATTTCTATAATTAAGGCACTGGAACAAAACCACATCTATTTTATTTATTTATTTATTTATTTACTGCATATTTACTGCATATTTACTGACAAAACTTGTTCCTAACATATCTTACAGTTTTTGCACATGACCGTGATGCAGGGAGCAACTCTGAGATCCGCTACATCTTGGAAGAGCAATCACCACTTGTAGAGGAACCTCTCTTCACACTTGATCCATACTCTGGGTGGCTATCCCTTAATCAAGAGCTGGATGCAGAGACAAAGTCAAAATATGATTTAAAGGTAACAGTAATTCTTTTTATCAAATTGACATTGAAAAATGAGTTATGGTTGTAGAACATGTAATACTGTCCACTGTGTTTGCCTATATAACTATGATATTCTTGTATGATACCAGAGACTGTTTGTCAGCGTGTTTTGAGACAGAGGGTCGTATTCAAGAACGTGGAGTGTAGGGTATCCATTTAGAAATCAATACCATGGGGAATGCCTACACCATCAGTGTAGTACGCATTCTATATCATTCAAATCGTGCGTCTTGCTGAAGGGCTGCCAACACATGAAAAGGAATGGTCTTTTTACCTACAGTACTTGTATATTTATATCTCCATTAATATCAATTTTCAGAAGAAATACCATAGAAGAAAATCAGTTCAGGATTAAATTCTACAGATTTTGAACCTATTGTCCTCCTAACCTAATTATTACCGAAAACTTTAAAAAGTTACCTTTAAAACTTTGCAAAAGATGTGCAGGTTAATGAGCAACATTAGAAATTTTTCAATGGAAGAAAACTTCTTCTTTTTCTCAAGAATATCCCAAATATTGTAGAGAAATCAATTTTTACTAAATCTCACCTAACCAAAAGAGAAAAGCCAAAAAACCTAAAGAACCAAATGTAACGAATTTCATATATCAGGATACAGTCGTGTTGCATCTCGTGTGCATTTAACCTACGCACATTCACCAAGATGGATGGTCTACACCAGTTAATTGAAGTGGAAGTGGCTGGGCAGAGTAATGGCTACGGTAGTGGAAATGTTAAATTAGGTTGGAAAATTCATGTACAATTGTGTCACATCTTACGCAGGGGATACGTTATGAAGAGGGTGCATAAAAGCAAGAATAAAATGTAGTATTTACCAATTACACTTTCCAAATTAGATGATCTCCCACCAATCACATTTCAGGATGCAAAATAGACATGCTAAGCCTCACCATTTCCTCTAATATGTCATGGAAGCCACACATCCACAACATTGCTAAAGCTGCCTCCCGAAAGCTGGGAATGCTGTACAGATGCCGTAGCTACTTCACTCCTGAGCAAGTGCTTCAAGTTTATAAAGGATTCATTTGTTCTAACTTGGAGTACTGCTCTCATATCTGGGGTGGCTCTTTTCTGTCCAACTGTTAGATAAGGTGGACTCATAAGCAATTTGTCTTATTAACTCTCCTCCTTTAGTTGATAATCTTTCTTCCCTTTCTCTTTACTGCAATGTTGCTTCACTCTCTCTTTTACAGGTACTTAAACGAGCAGTGTTCGGTGGATTTGGCATCCTGTGTAACACTGGCAAAGCCGTGGGCTCGTAACACTCGCCTTGCCCGCGGCTGCCCACCATTTCTCTGTGGATGCAGGTCACGCTAGAATAACCCGTTATAGTACATCTTTCTTTCCTCACACAGCCAAACTGTGGAATGCTCTGCATTCTTCTTTGTTTCCATGCTCATACAATCTGTCTCACTTGAAAAAGCTGGTTGTCCGGCATCTTTGTGGTGTAGATTAATATAATCTTTTTCTTTTCTATTTTTAATTTCTTGTTACTCTTATTTTTTTGCCCCTTAGGCCCCATTGTGGGCCGTTGACCTGTGTCGGATGGGCAATTCCCCATAAAAAGAAAAAATGCAAGATACAAAAGCTGAACAGAAATTGAACGAATAATCAAATCCAAAAATTTGGAAATTGTCGAATACAGTGGTCCCTCGGTTAACGAGCACAATCCGTTCCAGCAGGTTGCTCGTTAACCGAAACCATTGTTTCAATGGGTTTTTGGGTAATTGGTTCCAGCTCACCGAAAATTGCCTAAATTCAACAAAAAAGGTAGAAAAGTTCACTTACTTTGAGGTGTGTATGTTGAAGGCTCCTGGATGATGATGTGAATTTGAAGTGGGAGGTGGAGGAGGAGGAGAAGGGAGAAGAGAAGGAAGTGGAGGTGGAGGAGAAGCATTTTACTGCTTCTTGGAAGGTGAGTCACCTTCCATGAAAATGTCAGGAACCTCTGGACTGACAGATTCTCCACCATGAACATCCTCTCTCCTTCTTGAAGTGGAAGGCTGAGGGATAGCATCTTGTTCCCTCTGCCTTTTACTGAAGAAAGTGTCAATTGTGGTCTGTGGGGCATCTGTCCTCCTCACCATTAACTTATGTTTAAAGAAGAAGACCACTGAGTCCTCAACATGACACAAAGTTAGTTCAGTTTTTTCCACTTCTGGGTGCTTTGAAGCCAGTTCCCTGAACTTCTCCCAGTGGTAAATCACATCTTTCAACCGTTTAGCTGACATATGGTCATCACTTTCAATTTCCTCCTCACCACTGTCAACCTCTACCTGTAACATCTCATCCAGTTGCTTCAAGTCATCAGGAGTAAGTTCCTCCTCATGAGACATCACAAGCTCTTCCACATCCTCCTCCACTTCAAGGCCCAATGACTGACCAATGGACACAATCTCCTGGTCCAACTCTGTTTCTTCCTCAAATCCCTCAAAATCATGGACTACTGATGGCCACAGTGCTTTCCATGAAGAATTGAGGGATCTAGTGGAGACTTCTTGCCATGATGACACAATCAATTTTACAGCCTCCAGGATGTTGAATTGTGTCTTCCAGAAATGTTTCAGTGTTAGTTCAGGATCATTGGAAGTTGCCTGATGACACCTCCTAAACATTTTCTTCATGTACAACTTTTTGAAGTTGCTGATCACATTCTGGTCCATTGGCTGTATGATTGATGTAGTGTTTGGAGGCAAAAACAACTTTTTCACAAAGTCAAATTGATACTCCAAATTTCTGGCAAGGTCAGGGTCATGACCAGGAGCATTATCCATGAGGAGAAGAGCCTTTAAAGGGAGTTTATTGGTGGTTAGGTGGCTCTTGACAGAAGGGCAAAACACATCAACAGCCCATTCATTAAAGAGCTGTCTTGTCACCCATGCATTACAGTTGGACTTCCAATAAACTCCAAGCTTTGTTCTTACCATTTTCTGTTGCTTGAACACCCTGGGGTTTTCAGAGTGGTAGACAAGCATAGGCTTCAGTCAGAAATCCCCTGAAGCATTGGCACCAAGCAATAGAGTGAGACGGTCTTTCATGGGTTTATGCCCAGGTAAAGAGGCTTCATCTCTGGTGATGAATGTTCTTTTGGGCATCTTTTTCCAGAACAGCCCAGTTTTGTCCACAATGAACACTTGCTGTGGAAGATAATTTTCTTCTTCCATCAGTTATTTAAATTCATCTAAAAACTTTGCTGCCCCTTCCTTATCAGCACTAGCAACTTCACCATGCCTAACAACACTGAAAATGTCACTTCTTTTCTTAAATTTTTCGAACCTGCCTTTGCTGGCCCGAAAATCTTCAAATTCTGTGCCTGAAGAACCAGGTTGATCTGTCTTTAAATGTTTGTAAATCTCCCTGGCTCTTTCACAAATGAATTCAGTAGAAACTGAATCACCTTTCATCTGTTTGTCCCTAATCCAGATGATAAGTAACCTCTCAGTTTCTGCAATTAGGGATCTACTTTTAAACACTCTTGTAGATTTGTCTCTCACTTTCACTTCTTCAAATTTGTCTTTCTGTGCAAGAATTGTCGACACAGTAGATGTCGACATGCCATATTCTTTGCATAGCGCATTTGTTCTAGTGCCTTGTTCATGTTTTTTTATGATTTCCTGCTTGGTTTGGATTGAAATTGCTTTTCTTGATCTCTTAGGCCCCATGCTGGATTCAAACAATGTCAACACGTGCTTTTTAAAGTTAAACTTGTTGTAAATAAAGAACATTTTCTTTAAAATAATACTGCACTGCGCTATATATTGTCAATATGTAAAATAAATTTCAAAATGACCAATAATTTGCTTGGAAACACAGGAAAAAAGCGTTTAGTTGAAGAGAGTCTCGAGCAAGATGTTGCCTCCAGTGAAAACAGAGAGAGACTAACGCCTGTTTGCTGTGTTAAGAGGCTGGATGCCGCGCATTAAACTAGTCACTTTACCTGCAATTATGTTCAATAATTGTTAAAATGACTAAAAAATTTAATATTAAACTTTTAAAATTATTGAATAATATAAACTTCTTGATATTTACTAAAATAGTAAGGAATTTAAGCCCTAGAACCGATTAATGTATTGGCGGACTAATACTACAGCTGGTTGACCGCCCAGTGCAAGCCAAAACTTGTTGAGGTCGGCTCGTAAGAAACTCGTTAACCGAATTTAAGAATCTTATGGGAGGTAACAGTAATGTCAAAATATTCCAAACTCGGTTAATTTGGATTTTTAGGTAATTCGAGTGACCCAGAGCCCCTCCCTTTTTTTTTAATTAAGGAAGATGTTGTGTAAATATATAAATTATGAACATAGTTTTTCATAGGGCTTGTTCTTAAAGTGCTGTCCCCTTTTCTCATGAACATTACAGTAATCCATAGGCAGTTAATACAAATATCTGTAGGCATTCGCTACATCATGGGCTTTCACTACGCTTCTTGAATACCAACCGTAGGCATAGCTTAAAGGGATACCTCCATATTCTTCAATACAGTCCATAGAGCGATGCTGTACATGGAATCTTTATCCAAAGCAAGTCTAATATGTCTTCATTTTCAGGTTCTTGCCAAGGACAATGGCACTCCACAAAGAAGTTCAACAACAAGTATTATCATTGAAGTAATTGATTACAATGACAATGCTCCTCAATTTGTTAAGGAGAAATATCATGCTTCAGGTATGTGTATCACGGGTGTTGTGGATAGTATTGTACATTATAAAACAGTATGTACACTTTTGACATTATTCTTGAATTCCGTATTTGGTTTGAAGTTAAATTTATATTCCTAAATATACTGTAATTACATATACTCAATAAATGAAATATATTCAATGGACTTTCATGCGAGTTTATCTGCTTCATTACTGCAATTGGCTCGACTTAAGAGTTTAAAAAAAATTTATTCAAGCTTCAATTGAGTGACGTATTTTCTCTTTCAGTAAGGGAGAATGCTCTCCCTGGAACAGTTGTAGTGCAGTTGGAAGTTCTTGACTACGACTTAGGGGGAGGGGCCTTGGATGGAGAAATGGGACAAGGCATCATATATTACCTCACTGCTGGAAATGCCCTTCAACACTTCCATGTCCGAGGAGGGGGCCAAATATATGTTGCTAAAGCTCTTGATTGGGAGTCAGTGGACAATTATGCTTTAGAAGTTACTGCAACAGATGGAGTCTTTGTTGCAAAGTCTTGGGTCTTCATTCAAGTTTTAGATGTTAATGGTAAGCTAATATTTTCAGTATCAATATCATGTGTTTCACTTCACTGATGATCTCATTATTATCATTATTTTTATTTTTCTGCTTTTATCTCTGTTCAGTCAATAGTTTACTGCTTAGAATACCATTGGATGGTTTATTTGCAAAACTTATGGTAGAGTATCTATCATCCACATTGGCATTTTCCCTTTTTCAGTTTTTATCATATTTATTTTTATTTATTTATTTTTTTTTTTCAGTACAGTATTGTACTGTAATTGGTTATACAGTACAGTTGGCCCTTAACATATGCGGGGGTTACGTAACAGAGATACCCAGGGATGTTAAAAATCCGCGTATTTTTGCTGCCCCTGGCCCCCCCATATCCTTATTTACCGTATATACCTGTGTGTAGTTCGAGTTTTTAAGACCAAATTATTTGGCAAAATATTGGGGGTCGACCTCTAAATGGGTAATAGTTTCGTTAGGTTGAAAAATATTTACCAGTAACTACCAGTAAACAATGGAAACGATGCACCAACGCACCACCAGCTGTGAATGTCGGTACAGTTGCCAGGGCAGATCTTTTGCGCCATCATAGCAAGCCCAAAGTAGCCAAATCCATGGTATGGTAGCACAGGACGATGTAAAACATAAAGTATTCATTTATTAAAGTTTATTTATAGATACTGGACATAAATTTTTGTTCATTACATTTGAAACATCAATCTTTGTTAATTAAATTTGAAACAAAAGAAAACTACGATACCGTATTTTCATTAAAATATTACATCACAAGTATATTTTACCTTAACTGTGACTGAATGAATATACGTATTCTCAGAAATAAATTTGGAAATATAATATTTTTGCTGGAATGACGTACATATTACAGTGGAAAGTGGGATAAAATCATGACGAAAACAATGACTTTCGCTTTCTTTCGTTATTCAAAAGATTTTACCGTAATCGCTTTTCGAATGGTTTTCAGTTAAAAAACTGTTGTGCTCGTACTGTATTACAATACAGTAATATTCTATCCTATCATTAGCCTTATAATCCCACAACTGAAAACCATTCGAAAAGCGATTACGGTAACATCTTTTGAACGAAAGAAAGAGAAAGTCATTGCTTTCATCACAATTTTATCCCACTTTCCACTGTAATACGTACATCATTTCAGCAAACTATTACATTTCCATGTTCTCAGAAATAAATGGTAGTTTTGTTGAAACGTAATGTACAGTATTTAATATTAAAATGCAAAAATAGCTATAAAAACAATTAATACACCCGTAATGTACTGGCTGGCATCTCCACTCATCCCTGCTCCCGCGTCCAAGGTCACCACTCCTCCCAACTCGCTCCCTCCTCCGCCTCCTCCACCTCCTCACCGTCACTACTGCCGACAACAAACACAAATGTTTTGTGAATAACTGCACCTCCACTTCCGATGTACAGTACTGAACTGTACTGTGCTGTGCTGTGCATTTTTACAAACAATAAACATGGCAAGAAAAGCTATAAAAAAAAGAGATAATAATTTTACTTTACTGTACAGTACCTATCCTCGGCGACAGGACGGGGGTCATCGGGCTGATCGTCACTCAATTCCATAACGGGTGGTGAAGTGGGGGCGACGGTGGATTCAGCTGCTTCCTCACTGCCGCCAGTGATTGATGGTGTTAAATCTCTCCTTCGGTGATCAAAGAACATGGTGATGGGGAGTTGTCGTCTCTTTCTTTTCATTTCTTCCATGATGTTTTTGTATGGAGCAAAAACGTCATCCATCCCTCGCATGAATTTCAGGGCACCCACCATGGAGGGGACCAAACTATAGGCCAGGTTTTTCAGTGCCTCAATATTCCTGGTCATCTCCCCCAACTTCTCCAACGTTATTTCTTGGTGCTCTTCCTCTTCCTCATCCTCTTTCCCTTTCGCTTCCTCTTCCTCTTCCTTGCCTGAGTCTACTAACTCCTGTAGATCCTCCTCGGTCAGCTCAGTGTCGTGTTCTTCAATTAGCTCCCTAATTTCGTCCTCTGCCATGTCCTGGAAGCCTTCAGCAGCCACTTTCCTTGACAGTGCCAGGGTCTTTCTGAATATTTAAATTAAAATCCATCAAAATCATTTTCCTTGTCATCGTCTTAAGCACCAAACAGCTCCTCCCAGTCTTCTCCTTGAACAGGGCTAGAGGGTACGTGTTTTTCGAATCGTTTTCAATTAAAAAATGTTACAGCACATGTATATTTTACCTAAACTGTGCCTGAATGAATATATTCTCAGAAATAAATAGTAGTTTTGCTGAAACGTGATGTATTTCAATGTAAAATAGGTTAAAATACATGACAAAAACAAAAGACTTTACCTAACCTTCCAATGTTCAAGAGATGTTACTCGTTTTTTTAATGGTTTTCGGTTAAAATACTGTTATAATACAATGATATTCTATTCGTACTGTGCTTGATATACTACATTCACGGAAATGTAATATTTTTGCTGAAATGACGTACGTATTACAGTGGAAAGTGGGATAAAATCGTGACGAAAACAATGATTTTCGCTTTCTTTCGTTCAAAAGATGTTACCGTAATCGCTTTTCGAATGGTTTTCAGTTAAAAAAACTGTTACATCCTGGTAATTCGATCAGTATCTTACATAAATGTCTAACAATTTTAACTGAAAACCATTGAAAAACGATTCGGTAACATCTTTTGAGCGGCAGTCGTGCTTTAGTCACTTTCACTGTAGCAGTAAGTCATTTTCAGCAAATATTACATTCCTGTTCTCAAATAAATAAGTTGTTGCCTCTCCTGATCGACATTAGCATTGGAAAATCCAAAAGTTATAGTCCAGACGATTTTGGATTTGTCCAATAGTGAATGGTGGCTTTTTTTTTTTTTTTTACTTATTTGAATTATTATTATTATTACAGGAGTATTAAATTTTTGCCCCTCAGGCCCTAATGTGGGTCAGTGACCTATTCCCGGGTGGGCTAATCCCCTTAAAAAAAAAACCCTCGGGTAATTAAGGTTTGTTTACATCCGGCAGTTCGGCTGCTCTCTCTCTGCTTGTCTATACAGAGTACAACATTTAACCCTTCAATATATATGAGCAGTAAATAAGTGTTGCTTTCATATTCTTATGTAGAGTAATGACGATATATTTTCACATGTGCACACTTACATACGAGCAGTCTCACTTTTTTTTTTACCATTAATGGCTAGCTACTTATATTGTTCCATTTATTAACATTAAATAACATTACAGGTACTTCAAGCAACCATATTCATTTTTTACATTAATTTTACTACAGCTAAACTCAGGGTCTTATTTTCTACAGTTTTATATGTAGAACCAATCAGTCACTGGTTTCGTAAGCTTTAACATAAACAATGCCGGCAGCCGTCTCGTCTCCTCTAATATTCCACGTATTATTAATAAATTGTATTGTTAATTTTGCACACACATTAATTCAATAAAAACAAATTCAGAAACATTAATTAAAATATATATGAACAGTAAATAAGTGTTGCTTTCATATTCTTATGTAAAGTAATGACGATATGTTTTCACGTGTGCGCATGCGCACTTACATACGCGATCTCTCTTTTTTTCTTTACCATTATCGTTAGCTACTTCTATTGTTCCATTTATTAACATTAAATAACATTACTTAAAACAACCATATTAATTTTACTACAGCTACAACCAAGGTCTTATTTTCTTCAGTTTTATATGTAAAACCAGTCAGTCACTGGTTTTGTAATCAACGAATACAATGCTGTGTCATTTCCTTGTGTGTTTTAATATTCTACGTATTATTAATGAATTGTATTGCTCATTTTGCACACATAACATTAATTCAATAAAAAAGACATTCAGTAATAAACAATAATGAATCTTTTGTACATAAGAGAAATGACCCTGTTTACACGATTATGCACGTCATCTGCACGTTGGCGGGCCGTTCAAACCCGTCGAAATTCAAGTTTCCTCCGTCAAAATTTTTATTTATTTTTTTTTTGTGTGTTCCAATAAAATACGTTAAGAATTAAAA